AATATGAAAAAGCATAAAGAATAATTACAGTGAACAGCTGTGTATCCCTGACTCAGCTCAGGAAATAAAACATAAACTGAGTTGAAACCTACTGTGTGTCCTTCCTAGATTGCATTCCTCCAACCCTTTTTCCTTCATAAGCATTATCCTTAATTTGGTTTTATCATTTTCATGCATGTCTATGTTTTTTAGTATATGTTTGTATCTTCAATACCTAATATTTTTATGATTTTTAACTTGTAATAAGTGATATCGTAGTATATGTACTGAGATATCTATGGAAAGTCATATTAACAAAAGCATTCAAGTGTTTTGGATATAAAGAGGAGTTTCATGGGATGCTGTTTATGTCGGAGCCATGTTTGAGAACGATTATGTGTTTCAGGGTTTGTTAAAATGGTTGGAGAAATTGGACATGTATTTCTGTGCTTGTACACGGAAGGGAAGAAAATATTCACTTTAGTGGTAGATTACTTACCAGGATGGTTTTAGGTGCATAATATGAATGTGCAAGTAAATGCTTAAAACAGCACTGATTTGGGATAACGTAGTTGGGGTATGTTTGGGCATTTGTTTATTAGAAAAGTATGGGATTGGATGCAGTTGCAGGTGCCCATGCACGAAGACTGAGTATGTGAGTAAAAATATGTAGAAGAGTTTATGGCAAATAGAATAAAGGATTATAGAAAAAATTTGAAAATAACAATGGCTAAATTCCAAAATGTTTTAATGTATGAGAACTGAAGTTTATTATTAATTATAATTACCAGAGGTTGTGTAGGGTCCTGTGTATGTAATCTATTGAGATGATTGGGGGGAAGGAATGCTGCATTTTATATTTTATTTGGAATATGTAGGTATTTAATAGGTTTGCTTTCAATGGTTAATAAAGAGTGACAGTCCTATAAATAGAGTAGGGAGAAAGTGCCAGTAGTGATCACGGTCCTAACATAATTCCTCTTTCCAATTTGTGGGCACTGAGCCATCTTCCTTTCTGCCCCAGAGGAAAGACATCGTTGTCTGAGGGGATAAAGAGTGGGGTAACCATATCGAGTTTTATTGGGTGGTAGAGTAATATATCTTTTGGATGCATGAGGTTCAGTTTATAGGGTTATGGGTTGCCTATAGGGTAGATTGGAAATTGAAGGATGGGAGCAGGACTTGTATACACATGTATTCAATTGGGTGGTAGAGGTGGTGAATTTTTAACTATGTCTACTAGTATATGGCTTCAAATTATGTGTATCTGGTGTAAAATGTTTATAAATACATTTTCACTAGATTGAGAGCCATTATTAATAGTACATACATTGATTAGGCAAGTATTTGCTCCCTGTCAGTGAAAGTTAAGATTTCTGAGGCTCTGAGCTCATTGCTTGGCTTGGCATTCAGTGACCTTTATGATTTGGCCTTTGTGATTGGTAGACCAATCTCTCTAGTCTTGTCTCCCTAATTTGTTTTGTGAAACTGGTTCATTTAATTTTCTTTCCCAACTACAATTGTTTTGCTCTTTCTTGGAATTGACTAGTTCCCTTTAGTCAGTTAGACAAATCCTATCCATTTTTCAAGACGTAGAGCACATCTTAATTTCCTTATCCCTCTAGCCACAAATTACTGAACCACTAAGCACATACTGTCATATTAATATCCATTTTAGTAATTTGGCAGCTTACTTTTTCTAGTGTGTTTTCCGCTGTCTTAAGCTATTTAGATTCCATTTTATTTACCTTTTTGTAAATATATATGAGGTTTGTCTTGTTATATTTCAAATTCCTTGTGTGGAGGTATTTTGTCTACTTGTTTACATCCCCTCCCCAGGATACCTAGTACAAAATATTAACTCAGATTTTTTTTTTTTTGAGACAGGGTCTTGCCCTGTAGCCCAGGCTAGAGTGCAGTGGCATGATCATAGATCACTTCTGGGCTCAAGCGATCCTCCTGGCTCAGCCTCCGGAGTAGCTGGGACTCCAGACCTGTACCACCATGCCCACTAATTTTAAAATTTTTTGTAGGGTGGGGGTCTCAATCTGTTGTCCAGGCTTAAGTGATCCTCCCATCTTGGTCTCCCAAAGTGCTAGAATAGCAGGCATGAGTCACTGCGCCCAGCCTTAGATATTAATATTTTTCATTCGATGCATATATACCAATGACTATGTTAAATGAATGCTTCCTTATATACTAATTGTTAAATAAACACATTCCTTGACTTTAAGAAAAATAGACTTTATATTTTAGAGTAGTTTTAGATTCATAGCAAAAATGAGCAGAAAGTACAGAGAGTTCCTATATATCATCTACTTTCATGCTCACACAGCCTCCCCCACTGTCAATATCCTGCACTAGAGTGGTATGTTTGTTACCACTGGTGAATCTCCGTTAACAATCATTATCACCCAAAGTTCATAGTTTACATGAGGGTTCACTCTTCATTTTGTATATTCCTTGAGTTTGGACAAATGTATAATGACATATAGTATCGTACAGAATAGTTTCACTGCCATAAAAAGCCTCTGCTCTGCCTATTCATCTCTCCCTCCTTCTTCCCCCACCCCCACCTTTTCCATTTTTCCTTCCTCCCTGGCAAACACTGATTTCTTTACATCTTCATAGTTTTGCCTTTTTCAGAATGTCATAGTTGGAATCATACAGTATGTAGACTTTTCAGATTGACATCTTTCATCTATTAATATTCATTTTCTTCCATCTCTCTTTTTTTTTTTTTTTTTAGAGATAGGGTCTTGCTCTGTCAGCCAGGCTGGAGTGCAGTGGTGTGGTAGTAGCTCACTATAACCTCGAACTTGGGCTCCAGCTATCCACCTGCCTTAGCCTCCTGAGTAGCTAAGACTACAGGCACGTGTCACCACTCCTGGATAATTAAAGTTTTTTTTTTGTAGTGATGGGGTCTCACTGTGTTGCCCAGGCTGGTCTTGAACTCCTTCCATTTCTTTTTATGGCTTGATAGCTTATTTCTTTTTAGTGATAAATAATATTCCACTGTCTGGCTGTACTACAGTTTATTTGTCCATTCACACAACAAAGGACATCTTGCTGGCTTCCAAGTTTTGGC